CGAGTAAAAAATTCAAGAAATTTGTTTCAACCACGAAATAAGTGGTGGCGGCCGGTCGTATACCTTTCTCGGCCTTTTGGCTAAGATCAAGTGTAGTATCTGTTCTGATCAGTTTAATATCTGATCCGTGGTCCATCGGACCACATAAAAAAAAAAAAAAGTGGTGGCGGCCGCATTTTCCATTTTCACCGCTGTGCTGGTTCTCCACACTATGCTACCCGTAGCCCTCATGAACCTGTGATACAGGTCTCCCGAATTTTCAACGACGGGTAGAGTGGTGGTTTAAGTGACCCGCTCGGATAACCAATGGCTGACTTCGGAGGGACCTTGCAAGTCTGAATACAGCCTCTACAACAACCCAGCCAGTGTCTTATTTTTTTCTTTTTTTTTTTAAATAAGAAAAGCAAGATACAGCAGCTGACAAATGACCTGATGGGTTTTCAGCATGATGCATTTTCAACGCGATGCATTTTTTTCCCCTTTTCTTAACCTTTCTTTTTCTTTTTTTACGATGTGTTTTCATCGTGATTTATCATCAGCAAGATGCATTTTCAACGCCGTGTGTTTGTGGAGGAATGGTCTGAGTTTTTGCTGAGTTATATGCTGTAAAATTCCTGAGTCAATTTCACGTTTATGTGTTCCCCTGATCTTTGAACTTTTGAGTCAAGTCCATGCTTGTTTGCAATTCTCTGAACTTTGAGGGCCAAGACTGAAATTTGGTCCCGAGCTTTGAGGTCGAGTCCTGATGCTACCCTGGTGGATCCTGTGTCCCAGTAATAAAATGCTTTGTTGAACCAGTTTGACTGATGCTTTCGCAATTTCGAAAAGCAAAATTCATCACAACCAGTTTTGCGAAAACAAGCCTCGAGAGAGGTCTGTAAATGAATGGGAGAAAATTTGACTAGAAAAGTCAACAGTGTTTATAAGTTTTATTCCCTCCGGTGGTGACATAAGACCGCTTGCACAGTTTTTTAACTTTGTTTGCAAAAATTTGGGCACTGCGTCCTGTTGTGAAGCCATGTGAAAATAAGTGGGAAACCGGGGTTCATAAACAGGTTCTATCTAACTTAGGGCCTCGCCACACCACTCTCGAAATGTGAAAAAGACAAAAATGTGGCGGGTGCATCTGGCCATGTGTTCTAGCTGGAAGTTCATTCCCATTTTGCAAATTTCAAGAGTGGTGTAGATCATTCTAAGAACATCTTGTACGATCCTGTCCTGGAAGCATGATACTCCAAGTCCCCAACGCGAGCACCATAACTGCAAGCATCTTGGGTAGTTTGTGCTGGCGATCGATATCCACTCACTTGTCCTTGCCAGCATGCTCTTGTCCTGTCGAATTTGCAGTAAGCCGAATGTCCAGGGTGCAGAATTGATTGCACACGCTCTTTCTTCTTGTTAGAGACTTTCGTATTTAGATTCAGGTAACCTAACGGTTGCCCACAAGGGTCAAGAGTGAAATTTGGTCCCGACTTCCAAGGACAATTTGTTTTTGTCCAGATGAACTGGTAACTTGGACTCGCAAGGATATTCGGGTAAGCCCTGAGGGTATTAAGGTAAAGAAATCTTGTCCGAACAACCTGGTAAGCTGGACTTAAAGGGGTATTTGCGCAAGTTCATCAGGGGGTGGGCGGGAGTTTTGGGCAAAGTTTCTCCTAGAGGGAACTGGTAGGCCGCTGATGGATATCTATCTCCAGTACTGCACGTATCTAGACATAGAAATGGATCACAGGTAAGTCCGTACCTGAAGGGCACTTGCAGGCCTCGTTCTTTCCCTCCCAAATCAAGCAGAAAAGAGGCCTGTTGGAGCCTGCAGCTTGCTGGAGAGACACCGAGTACCTCCCTAAACAAGAAGTACCAAAAGGAGTCCCACGAGAAGTCCCCCCCTAGAAGTACCACAAGCAGTTCCACAAGAACCTTCATAGGGGTACCACAAGGAGTTCTACTAACAAGTCCCTCCCAAGAAGTACCACAAGGAGTTTCTGCAAACAAGTCCCTCCCAAGAAGTACCACAAGGAGTTCCACTAGCAGTACCTCCCTAGAAGTTTGAAAAGGTCGCACCTGACCAGGACACACTGCTCACAAAACATTTCAATATGATATAACACCTGTCTTTTTTTCTCTTGCTTTCTCTTTTGCGGAAGTTCCTCCCCTCCTGTTTTTTTAACAACAACCCCATTCTGCAAGGAATATGAGCGAGAGCGATAGACAGAAAACCAAGTTGCAAAATCACGAAGTAGTCCAGATAGTCATATACCAAGCAGAGAGCACAATGCACCAAGATTCCATCCAAATAAGAGTAATTGTCACATACCGTAACGGTACAGACCAGAACAAAAACCGACCTCTCTCACAAAGTAGAAGAGAACACAGTGGAAGGCTTAAATACCAATGATCCGAAAAATCAATGTTGCCATGCAGACCAAACATACATCATCATCATTCCATGGTGTGAAGGGGCCTGGCGCTCACACAGGAAGAATGCGCCAGTCCCCAA